AACTGGACCAGGTAATCCTTCATCTGGATTGGATAACAGATTGAGCTCATCCTCTTTCAGATCCAAAAATTTATCATGAACCTGCGAGTAATTTAAAAAAGAAACGCTTTGATCATTAATAGTTTCAAAACAACATAATAATTTAATTTTAAATTAAAGATATATGTAACTTGCCTGATCATGAGTCAGCATCTTAAAAGCTATATCAAGTTGGGATGAGCTCAAGCTTACAGTTGTTGGCCACCTCAACATTCGAGGTCTAGAACTGATCAACATTCAAGGTTTTCAGCTCATTCCTCATCTCGTCAGATACAACAGGCCTGACTTTATCAAGTGCATCTCTAACTATTGATGCTCGACATCTAGAACTAATGGACCTTAGGTTCACAAATCTACATTAAACAAAATAGTGCAAAAAATATAAGGGGTTATGTAGAAATGTTTTATTACGGGAATACTATGGTAATATTTAAGCAATATTATGTGATCTCGTATAATATTATTTTGGTTATATTATAGTAATACTTACGACGTATTCTAACATTGTAGTATTTCAGTTATATTATGATTGTGTTGCTGTTGTATTTTTGGTACTTAGGTTTAATACTTAGGTTTAGTACTTAGGTTATATTATAGAAGTTATATTTAGGTTATATTATAGAAGTTTTTCTATTGTATTCATATATTAATATTATCAAGGTTATATTCTGGTAGTTTTCCCGTTGTATTCTGTTATTATTATAGTATTATTTCTATAATACTCACGTAATATTATTTAGGCTAAGGTTATATTCTAGTGTTACTCAGGTTTAGTACTTAGTTTATATTATAGAAGTTTTTCCGTTGTATTCATGTATTAATATTATTAAGGTTATATTCTGGTGTAGAATTAATGTTATATTCTGTGTTATATTCTGGTGTATTCTATTATTATTATAACATTATTTTTGTAATACTCATGTAAGATTTAAGGCATTGTTAAATAGTGATTGATTTTGTATTATAATTAAATAACAAGTTTTATTGCGGTTTAATGTTGATTTTTTAAGGTAATATTGTGTGCACATGTGTACGTGTGCACGTGTGTAGAACTCAAAAACACCAAAATAAAAATTACCTCGATGAACCCTCTTCGATTTCCTTCTTCTTTCGCTCTTTCCCTTCTTTTTTCTTGGGTTTCTCGGCCTGCATTGTCGCTTCCTCTTCGGTTTCCATTATCAAGGGCTCTTCCGTCTCCATTCTCACTGGACTCACTTCGGTTTTCAGCAGAGACTCTAAAACTCTGAGTTTATCTGATTCAAAAACCCTAAAAGATAGAATGAAGATCGAATGAAGGTGCTCCGTGCTCTCCTCGCTCGGGCATCGTTTGGTTTTCCGATGAAATAAACTTTCTTTCAGGCGCGCTGTTAACTTTTTTTTGTTTCGGGTCAGATTAGGGGCGGGTCGCGCCTTAAGCATGCCTCAATTTATTTTTTAAGTTGTGGGCGCCCACTAATCCAGGTGTCATCTTTTCATTTGCGTGCGTTGTCCCCCACATAATAAGAACCTCTTCTATGGTTTGAGAATGGTCGTATAAACTTCGATTTCGTTTACACAAGCATTAATTCGAATTCGAGTTCAAGCACTCCTTAATGGAGCTGTCAGAATTAGGGTTTCCATACTGGAGAGCGGTCGGCGAAGATTCGCTCCGCAAGATTCCTTCTTCGTCTCTGGTAACGTAGAGCGCGAGCTCCTCGCCAAGCAGGTGTGCTCCATTATTCTCACATATCCTTTCCTTCTTCCTTATTAGAATCCTAGAGTTTGCTGCTAAATTCACAACTACAAAACTTTCGTTTACTTGATTTTATGGCTTGGTTGATTGGCCCGATTGGTAACAGAAATCTATTATTTGATACACTTATGCGGTGCGCTGATAAGGAGACAAATATTAGTTATTGGTTCCAATGGAACCACGATCTAGCCGTGTATGGGTTGAAAAAATGATTTTTTTTGGGGCGGAGTTTATTTTCTCTTTGCAAATTCAAATTTAGCTTCAAATTCATATTTAAATATAAAAGGATGACTTATATACATGCTACTCAATTCTTATGCTTTTACATATCTAACACCTAAACTTAAATTTGTAGCGTAAGTGTCACTTTTAGGACGTGTTTGGTAGCGTATTTTTAGTAGGATTTATGGCTCGATTTAACGTAAATTCAGCCAGACGCCAAAAACCGGGACGTTAAGTCTGACATTCTGTTTAAATCCATTTTTTTCATCGTTCTGTTAGCTTTTGGACGTAAATACGGATTTGTTAAATCCGAATATTTGGTTGGATTTAATGGATTAAACTTGTGAAGAAAAAAATTGCATAGCTCAACTAAAATAAAATGCCAAAAATGTTTGCTGACTTTAATTGGATTTCACTTCAACCGAACCAAAAACTAATTTTAGATTTAATAGCATAAGGATTTGATAAATTCAGATTTACTAGATTTACTAAATTCTATTTAATGTAAATCGAGAGTGCAACCAAACATCCCCTTAATGTGATATAAAAGATTTCACTGGTGTAAATGTAAAATGCAAAATATAGAAGTTTGACATGTAATTATAAAAGAATTGGGTGGTATTTATTATTTTTTAAGTCTAAAAAAACATCATCACTTGTAGCAGACTCAATCACCTAAACTAAACAAACGAGTCTCACATTTTTTGGATAGTTTGGATGACTAAGCACGATACCACAAGTAATACAATTATCCTGGAGAATAAAAAATATCACTTGTAGTAGGCTAAATCACCTAAATTAAAGAATTTGTGACATCCGTTTGATTTGCGAAATATTTTATATTAGGCCAACAAGTTCCCCTACCTAATATAAGGATTAGATAGAATTTATTTTACTTGGGTTTCAAGTTCTCTATAGAGACAAACCCCTATAGTTAATTACATCTTAAATGATCGGGATCATTTAAGAAAATTCTTGATTAAGATCAGTGGTTTTGCCATCCATATTTCAAAGTTTAGGTTTTCAAGATTGAACATGGGAAAATCAAATGAGAATGACCCAAATAGGAACAATTATTTTTAAGGAATCCAAAGGAATGAATGGTAAGGGATATCATTGATTCAGGGAGATCGCCTGTGACCTCCCAACTATCCTATTGTTTGACTTTATATCTTTGAAATGATGTTGTTTAATGTTTAATCATGCAATTTATTTAGAATTTATGACTTATATTCACACGATATTCGATCGTGCCAATGACTTAAAAAGATAGGAGGATTTACACCGTACCGTACAGTAACTTCGGAATCCTAAAGTATTAGAACTTATAATTGTTCAACAAGGTTGTGCAAAAGCCTAAATGTGATATGTGAGGGTTTACGATGCACTATACAAACCATCTCGAAATCCTATGAGTTATTATTTAAACTAAGTGATTAGTGATATGAATTTGTTTTTGACGTAGCTCTTCTGAGTGTCCTCATCGTGCTGCCCACGGTGTTTGCTCCAAGCTCCTCGTCGTAGCACATTCGGGTTTGATATTAGTTTTAAAGGGTACATGTTATTATTAGGTTTTTCTATACTACGGTATAATGTGTAACATAATAAAACATGCAATATAATAAGAAAAGAACAATAGAATGTGCGGCATAGCAAAGAAAGAACAGTAGAGTATGCTGTGAAGTAAAATGTTGTAATGTAAATCAAATCTGTATATCTGTGAGTTCTGCTGCTCCTTTAAGCAAACTAGTATGCACCGTTTAAACAAAATAAACATTGCCTGAAAAACTCGAGAAAATTGACAAATGACCCACTACGAAAAATTTGGAAAAATCGACAAATGACAATTCCAAAAAAAATTATCAAATTCTTGAGAATATCCCAAAAAAAGGACCACGAGTGCTTTTCAAAAAAAAAAAAATTCAATAAAACATACGGAAAAAATCCGAAAAGAGGAGATCGCAAGCACTCGGGTCTGGGCTAGACTCAAATATAATATATTTGTACTCGAGGGGCATTGAATGCTACTATCGGTCATCCGGATGTATAGAGTCCACCACTCAACTAGAAGGGTGTCCTACTAAACCTAACTTAGAGGGGTACTCCTTAGCCCAGTATCGGTAATCAACAAGTGGACAACAAAGTTATAGCACATTTGAAAAATTATATTTTAGCATGTACATGGATTTCATGCATATAAAAAGGAAGTTGTATCAAATTTGTAGTGAAAATATTGTTATAAATATTATATATGTTCTTATAAGTTTTGAACAGTAAAATTGTCAACGAGTCGATCACGTCGTCGGGCGTAGGACCACCAATAATCTAAGAAGGTACGTATCCCCCGCTAGTCTTGTGTCGGTGGATGATATCATCATTCTACAGTTTATCATGTCCAAAAAATAAGTCCTGATGTCGTAGGATGAAATATTATTCTGCTCCATCATCGGCGTGCCTTTATCATCATCCCCCTAAGCCCCAAAACAAAACCGACCTACTTGCGACTTTGTTTGATGATTTGATATATAGCAAAAGACTATATATGAGCACTTATGTGTCAAACATAAGCACTGAAAATCGAACCAAGAATCAAAGAAAAAAATAAAAATGGGAATGAGAGAGATGAGGAATTGATTGACTCAAAAGATCAAGAGAATGAAGGGTGGAACAACCCTCAAAACCGTGACAAAAAGACCTGAAAAAGAGAGATCAAGATCCTTGAATCAATCCAAGAAGGATATCATTTTCTCAACTTTTATAAATGGATCAATCAAAAAAGAGTATCATTTCCAAACATTTAACAGGTCGTTCCTTGCAAAAGAACATTTTGAATTCTTTTAAACATTAAGAATTGACAAGTTTTTATTTCACCATCAAAATATTCAATTTCACATTAAATTAAAAAGAGTTCCTATGCCACATAACCCCACATCTTCCAAAGGATCGCACATAAACACTCATGGCCGGGACAACAAGGAGAACCACCCAAAATAGGCTCACGGGTAGAGGTAGCAGGAGAAGCCCGTCCAGGTTCAACTCACGAGTCAAGGCTGGTAAACCATCAAGCTCTTAGAGAGGGAATAAACCATCAAGCTCACGGGCAAAGGCACCAAGGAGGGCTAGCCGAGCCCAAATTAAAACTATAATAGGATCACGGGTAGACTCAACATAAACGACTCAACTCAGCCCCAAAATAGCACATTCAGCCAAATACCATCACCTAGGCAACATAAAACATTTAAGCAGAACAAAATGATACTACAAGGAATGCTCACAGCCAGGAACATCCAGAGAAGTTACTAACTTCTATTCAAGCAGGGGTAGCAGCCAAAAGGGCAAATCGAGCCCATTATAAGAGAAATCACAATTAGATGCTCACGGGTAAGGGCAGCAGACCAAAATCACTAAACTAGCTTCTCAGCTAAGGGGAAAGCAGGGAACAACCAAACAAAAATAAAAGAGAACCATGTTAATGTTCTCGGGTAAGGGCAGCAAGGAAGAACCACCACATCATTGTTATCATGCCCCTTTGATATACATAAGAGAGTGAATGGAAAAATTCCCATAAACTATCTAGATTGAAGCCATTTTATTGAACAAAACATGATAGTGAATTGACCCATTAATATCAAACATTCCCATATAGAAGTAGATATTGAAATCATAAGTTTTGGGATGACAAACTTGATTATCAATAACAATCTCGAGAGGAACGCTATATGAAAAACTTCTAACCAAACCGAGCTCAGAATAGGGGCAAGACAGGGAACCGCAACAGGCACACCTGAGTCCCGCAAGAAGGGCAAGACAGAGAAACACAACAGGCATACCCGGGCCCAACCAGGTGGGATACAAATAAAATACAGTTTCAGCCCAACTAAACCCAGTAAAAGAGAGCCAACATATACGCTTTTGAGCCAAATCAATTCCTTGTCTCAAATCCAATTAAACCCAATATAAGGGCTAAAGAAAATAATATAATTTAAGCTAAAATCGCACCCAACACAGGGGCAAACCGAGCCCAACACATGGGCAAATCGAGCCCAACACATGGGCCAACAGAAAGAATTATGACAGATAAACCGAGCTCAGCAAAGGAAGTATACCAAGCCAAATCTCGTGCAAAACTAGTCCCAAAAACCTCAAGACAAATCGAGCCCACCAAATGGGCAAAAATAGTACAAAACTTTCAGCCAAAATCCAGCTTAGAAGGAGCCAAAACCGAGCCCACCAGATGGGTAAAACATGGCAGAATTTCCAGCTAACATTTAATTAAAAAGAAAGCCAAAATCGAGCCCGCCAAATGGGTCAAAACAAAATATAATTTCCAGCCAAACCAAACCCAGCAAAAGAAACCAAAAACAGAGAAAACATCCCTTGTAAACCGAGCCCATCAAATGGGGAAAACAAAAAGACCACCTCCAGCCATCAAAGTCAAATCTCATGAAGCTTTGTGTCTCAAAATATTATGCCTGACATATGTTTCAAATAATATGTTTCATGTTTCAAATAGTAACGGATACCAGGGAACGAATAAGCATAAACAGATCCCTCATGCCAACATATTATCCAATATTGTTCCAACATTTACTTGAACAAGAATAATAATAAAAAACATCAATATTTCATTTCCATCATGAATTCTAGATGAACAAATATCATTTCAAAGCTCATAACTGTAGCTTCCCAAATACTTCGAGCTAAAAAAGAAACACAAACAATTCTTTCCTCTAAAACTACTCTTCTTTTAA